GCGCAGCGCAGCCCCGCCTCCCGGGGGGGGGAAGAGACGCCTGCCAGCCAGCCGGATCTTTAGGGATCACCCTCCTTGGGGTGGCCACTTGGGGCGGAGGGCGAGGACGCAACACCCTCGATCGGCCCCAGCAGGGAAGCTTCGCCCTCGTCCCCCCCCCTTTGCCAGGCGCTTCTCCATCCCCAACACGCGCGCTTGGGCGTTTGGATGGAGAGATTCCCCACCCCCGGTGGGGGGGGCGTTGGTCTGCCACCCCTGCGCGATCCTGAGCCCTAGAGATCACTTTCCAGCAGGTCTGGGGGTGCCTCGTTGCCCCTCCCTCACCACCACCCCATCCCTAAGCATCTGTGGGGAGAGATGGGGATGTTCAGACAAGCACCCCACCCCTGCGATCCCATCTGCAGGATCCCAAATCCGGGCTGGGGGGCGGGTAGAGGGCTGAAATGTCCTCAAAAAGGTCGGCTTTCGAGACCCGGAGGGGTGAACGGGCCCGTTGCAAAGCCCAGCCCCGTCAAGAATCCTGTGGGACTCTCAGGCTGGCCTTTTGATTATAATTGAATTGCCCATTCAAGGTGGGTGGCTTCTGGGCATCAAAGCTCAAGAAAGTAACTTCTTCAAGCCCTGGGGTGCAGTGTGCCCAAGGATATTTGTGCGCTGCAAGGGAAGGCTGTGTTTTCATATGGCATTGAAATGGCACAGACACTTCCACTTTGACTCAGGCAGCAAAATAACTTGGGTCAGCCTTTGCCTTATTCCTGGAGAGGGTTGGCCTGTCACTCCACTACCTTGGAAACAGAGGCCTTTCACGCCATACCAGGAATCCTCCGTCCCTGGAGGATGATTCCCTAAAGATCTGATTGGAGCCATCCTCATTGTTACAGATTCGGTTGCGTCCAGAAATCCCACTTAGCAGCTGGAATCTAGTCGTAAATCAGGACTAGAGTAACCCATTGACTCAGAGGAAGGTGTGGAGGAGCTGACTCACCCAATCCCCACTGATTCAGAGGGCCTGACCTTGTTGCAACTTAACTCCTTGATTTCAGCTCTTGAGTGTCATCCCTATGCATGTTTTAGGAGAGGCAGCGCTGGCCTAGGATGCCGAAGCATTTAAAGACTAACCGCTCTCTTTTATAGCACGTCCACGAGAACTCTCATTAAAAGATAACTGTTAAGTCTTTAAGAGAGCACTAAGTCTCAACCGAAATGTAAGCCTCGTTGGTTTCCACGAAACTCACGGCGGGGAAGGGAGACAACGCAGGATTTCAGCTGGAAGGAAGCCGAGTGGTTTCCAGCAAAAGTGCCATAAAGAACAAGGAGAAAATAAAAAGTCTGATAACCCGATCGAAAGCAAACAGAGAGGATGGGAAGGAGGATCAAGATTTCCAGACATAGATTGTGGCCCTAAGCGTGTTGACTCAAAGGTTAAGTCCTGCCTGAATTCAAGAGCGTTGGTCCCTAGGAGAAGAATATTATTCAGGGTAATTTCCCCCAATGGAACGTTATTTGACCAATATGTTTTGCTGTTGGTTTTTCTTTAATTCCCTGCTTTTTTTCTACTGGGTCACAGCACTGGTCTGCCGCCTTTCCTGCCACAACCTAATCCAGCTTTTCCACCCCTTGGACATTTGTTTGTAAAGCAATTATTCTTGATATTAAGATTTCCCCCTCCCCTCCTTCTATGACCTTTCACAGATACACAAGCAGAGAGAACAGGTTTATGGGGATTCATTGCAACTCAGACACGTCTCGCTCGCCCCGGGTTTTCTGACTTGGTTGAGGGTGGATCACCAGATCCTACCATCCCAAGATCCTGTTCTCTGGAATCGCTCAGGACCAGAAGAGCAGCTTGCTACTCAAAGTAAGAGAGGAGGATTACTCAGTGGAAGCATGACTTATAGGGGAGCATTACTCAGTGGAAGACCACACTGTAGACCCCAAGCTACAGATGCTGGTAAGCAGGAAGAAGGCAGTGGAGGAAAGAAGGGTGTGCCATATGACCCACGCTGAGTAGACCTAAGCTAGGCTGCTGCCTGAAGTATGGTGGGGGATGTTCTCCCACTGGCAAGCAGAGTTCCATGTTGGACGAACAACTGCTAATCCAGTTTTTGTGCCCAGAAAAAGGGGGTGGTCCCCATCTTTTCTTTTTTTTTTGACTCAGGCAGCAAAATGTTGGGGATGGCCCTGGTTTTCCCAGCCAGCTGGGCCCAATCCTCATGCCCTCTTTGGGCTCCTTTTAGACCATGCAGCTGCATTTGGGAGCTGGCATGGCCATTTCCCACCATGCCCTGGGGCAGACTCGGGCTACAGTGGGTCACACCCCCTCCATTCCACAGGAAGGCTGCCCCGTTCTGCCTAACGGTAGGGCTGGGCCATGCGTTGTGCTGCTGGAGGGAGGAAAGTGCCTTCTGCTGAGCCAAGACTGTGGATCCTACTAGCTCAGTACTGTCTACCTTGGTGGATGGTGGCCCAAGCAGAGAGGTCTTTTCTATCAGCATCAGCCCGAATCCTTTAGCCAGAACATGTGGCCACCCTGATGTTGCCAGATGGCAACTTCCATCGCCTCCAACCTCAGTCGCTGATAGGAAGGATGATGGGGAAAGTAGTCCAAGAACATTGGGAGGACCATGTGCTCCTCATCCCTGTCTTAAGGAAAGGATGTATTCCTGATTCCTGTGGGGGGTTTCTGTTTTTGAAAATGTGCCTTAAGGCCTTATCTGCCTGCTTCAAAAGATTCCCTTAAAAAAATCCCAACCCTGTGGTTTTTCCAAAGGGAGATTTGATAACCTCAAACAGTATTCCTTCTAAGCTCTCTTCTTCCCACAGGTGTAGAACGAGAAGAGGAGGAATTAGGCAATATGGGTGTAGGTTGCCAGCTTCTCTATTGTTCCTTGCTCCTCTGTCTCTGACATCAGCTTAATCTACAAACACAAGCAGGGTGATTATGACTTTATTTCCCCCCCCCCCGCCCCAGGCTGTGAGATGTTTCAGCTGCTGATCCAGGCTATGGTAAAGATTGGGGACCTCACTGGGTCATTGTTTTCCTGATTAATTAGCAATAAGGAAACTGAGTCCCAAAGGTAAAGATGGAGGTCAGGTTGGGTTGAGTTGTTTCTCTCTGATTTTCTGATAATGTGGAACTGAGCCAAGAGGCTACATCTGTGGAAAGGCAGTTGTTTGTGAGGTTAGGATGTTATTTCAGCCTGAGCAGGTTTGGGTCAAGATTCCTACATTGGTGGAGGGCTGGTCTAGATGACCTCTCGTACAGTTTCCAGCTCTGCCATTCTATGCTTTCACCACATCTTTCTTGCTAAGACAGAGCTGCCGAGACCATACCTAAATCCTGCCAAACTGCACCTCTACTCCTGCTCCCTGGGCGCAGAAATGCTTTCGGGAGCTCCTGGGTCAAGAAGGACGGCTAAGGTAAGAGATGATGGGCATTGTTGTCCAAGACCTGGGAAGGACCCACAGATTCCCTGCCTTGCAAAATGGACTGGACCCTTTGTAGAGCTTCCAGAAAGGCCGGTGCCTTCCCCTACTGATGATGGATTGGCACTTGGCAGGGGAAAGGACCCGATTTGGGAAGCATCTCCATCGAATAACAAACCTCTGTCCTTCCATTGAGCTTTATTCCGTGGCCTCCTTGGCAGCCAGCCTGGTCTAATTAAGAGTTTATTACCCAAAGTTTTTCCTCTCTTTTGGGAGAAGGATAAACAGAACCTAAACAAAGGAGGCCCTATGAATATGAGCAGAGATTTGTTGGGAGAAACAAACACAACGGGTTCTGCATCTTTTCTGACTGAAAGGTTTTCAATGGTGGGTTGTCATCTAAGACTGCCAAGGGTCCGGGATGAGGTAGGGGGAATCATCCTAGCCTGCTTAGTCTGAGAGGGGGGCAGGCTGGCTTTTTTTTTCACAGTATAGGAGATGAGCTACGGTCTAAGAAATCAAGTTGCAAGGACTAAGGGCGTTTGTTTCTAGGCACGCCTTAAAACCCTGATATTGGTTCAAGTGAGTAAGAAAAAGCTGTGCTTGTTTACAAGCGACATAATTATTTTTTTTTAAGATACCACAATTTAATATAATCATCATGTGCTATCAAGTTCATTCTGACTTATAGTGACCCTTTTCAAAGTTTTCTAGATAGAGCGTACTCAGAAGTGGTTTACCCTTCCCTTCCTCTAGGGGGAGCCCTGG